AGAGACTGAGAACCAGGCTTTCTCTTCCAACATCAGTGTGGGATATCACAAACGCTCTTCTGAAAAAATTGTCAAAAATTCCAATAAACACTCCTAAATATTGTGAGCAGCCTTCCCAGAAGAAATTAGACTGTTCTAGCTGCAAGGGGCTGGACCAACGTCATATTGAACCCCTATGGATTAAGAATGGGATGTTACTTAAGCTCATACAGTAAGTGAGCAGGTGAGCAAATAATTTTGGCCATATAGGGTATACAGAGAAATATATGTTGGGCAATTTATTGCAAACAATGGCAGACATTTAAACTGGAACTAGTTGCATATCTTGTTAAAGAGATTTGCCTTGACCCAGATAAGTTAAACTGATTAAACATTCACTTATATTAGCAACAAATTACCTGTTCAGCAATTTGATCTTGATCTTTTTTTAATTGTTTGACATGATTTATTTTGTTTTAAAGAAACTCCTGGAGCTTTGGCTTTTTCCCAAGAAATGTATAACATAGAAAAGTCATCTGAGACCTCTGCCAAGCAGCAAATTTTGCCCTATATTGTGACTTGCATCTATAGCCAAAACTCACAAATGATCTGGATCATAATCAAATTTGAATTACTTTATCTTTGGCTTTAGGTGCACTTTTGGTAACAATTTCATTAAAATCCTTTCATAAGTTTATACATAAGGCACTGTGTGTGTCTGCAGCCTCTGATATTTCCTCTGCTCTCACCTTCCTCATTCACATTGTACTCTGCTTTCTTGTCTGATCAGCAGATTGACACTTTGAGCTACAGCATGCTTCACCTTTCCGGTATTTTGAGTCAGACGCTGAAGCTGTCATTTGTCACTGCTGCCTCTCTCATGTTTAAGGAGGAACTGCTTGTTCCATCAAATGATGTTAAAGAACCCTTTCAAAAATCTCTGCATCTGGGTTATATGTGGATCGTCACCAAAATTAAATGGTTTGTTCCTTACACTGAGGTGCACCTTTTATAAAATGTAAATTAAAACATGTTTATACATTTTCAAGTTATCCTGTACACAGAAGGACAAACAAAAAAACATACATAATAACTCTACATAACCTCTATTGCTGAGGTCATCATTTAACATTTTATTTTTCACTTAATTCCAAATGAAGTCTACATTACTGTACTTCAGACTGCAAGGCTTTTACTTACCACCAATCTTCTCATCATGCACCTCTGCTCCAGCCTATCAGCTGCTCCACACATCAAAATCAGCCAATCATCATTCAGTACTCTGCATTTTAGGACTTCAGTCTCTTGGGCCTAGAAAGAGCTGCTCACACTGAGCAACTGCATTCAACATAGAGGTTTCCTGCCAGCATCTGAACTCCAAAGACTTGTTCATTTCTTCCTGTCAATAAAAGTAATTGCTGTTTTTTTATAGTCTCTTAACGTTTAATTAAAATACAGACAGAGCTTAACATTTACTGCCTGACCATTTGTTTTTGCCTGATGTGAAAGAAATTTATTTTATTTGTTTCTTTTTTTCTTAGGTGAGAGACTCTAATCTTGAAGTCTATCCCTTAAACCCCTCAATAAAAAAAGCAAAGCATCTCTTCTGTTTTTTCTCTCCTCCCATAAAAATATCTGACGATGCAAGTCTCAGGTCTAAAATAAATAAAGCATGTAAATCTATTAAGTGACAGAGGCCCCCTGGGTCAGGTGGAAGCACCAGTTTAGCAGAGGCATAAACTGTCCCACACTGCCTGGCTGTTGACTGATGCAGAGACAAATATGTCGGCGATTGAAGTTGGGGCACAGGAGGCTCAATGACACAAGCAGAGAAACATGAGGGTGCTAGATATTATCCAAAGTGTTTGTGGGTCTGCGGACGCTGGGCCAGACTTTCCCCTTCCCATCCGTCACATGCCTCTGTGGTAACCCTGACCTGTTTGACATGAGAGGTGTGGGTTGATGCAACGTGTGGACATGTGCACCAGTGCTGTAATTTATCATGATGTAAACGTCTTCTCACTGTCCTCTTCTTCTTCATGTGGTTTCTGCATGTCTCTGCAAAGTCTTTCAGCTGCTCCAGATGGATTTCTTTCCCTTTTCCAGATTTAGATTCAGTAGCACATTTTCTAAACCTCTACCCACTGAGTTATCCAAGTACCTCAGTGAGAATTTATTGCTTCCCATGAAATATAGTTTCCTCTTTGAATTCAACTAAGAGACAGGAGAAAAAGGTTGGGTAAAAGTTTCAATAATTGATTTTCAAAGATTTCTTTTGCAGCTTATCGTCACCAGAACTACTATATTAAATAAAATGAAACTCCTTACATTGTTGTGAATCATAGTTGAATTCTCACTTGACTCCATCCATTAAAAATCATCACTTTAAACATTATTTTAAAGTCCTTTGTTTATTCTTTTTCAGAAGTTTAGGTAAAATAAAAATATGTAGGTGAAAATATTGCAAAATAAATAAGAATATCCCATTGATTTAAATACAAATACAGTCCCCATGAAGGCAACAAAATTATGCCAGTGAGTTAGAAGACAAATAACTTATATTATCTTAGAAATAAATTTGATCAATGGTAAATACAAAGCAAAATAATTACTTTGACATATTAAGTAGTAATTAAACTTAATGGAAGTCTGACCTGCAACTTGCATATATCCAACCCTGTATCTAAAAAATCTAGCCAACATATGTACATCAGCCAGGAAGTAATTGCTCTGTTGGATCTTGCAGAACAAGAGAACCTTCCTACAAGTAAACAGTGCAATGTTTAATATAGAACTCAATATAAATAATCATAATTATGTTTTCTTATTTTTTTGGTTTGAAAAAAATTTGCAATAATTCAGACATATCATGCAGCCCTGTTGGGTACACAGTATGAGTAACTGCTGAGAAGTCAGGATTGCAACCTTGGTGGATAGATGCTGAATTTAGATAGATTTTACAAAGAAAAAGTTAATTTTCTCAATCAAACCTTTTGGCTTTTTTGGATAAACTCTATGGGTTGTTTTTTAAATTGCACTGCCAGAAAATTCTTCAGCTGAATTTTCTTTAAAATGCTTAAATATTCATTCCAGACAGAATCAGTCATATCATGTTTTTAAAAATAATAATATTGTTGCCTTAACAACAAAATTTCTAAAGAAACTTTTTCTCATTTAATCTACCAAGCTTTAAAGCTTTAAGCCAGTTTCAAAAAGTAAAAAAATGCCAAAAACATAGTTTGATGCCTATAAAATAATGTCTTTGTTAACTTGTATATTTGATTAATTATGTTTTATTTATTTTATATAAAATATCCACAATAAAGTAAAAAACAATTCCATCTAGCCTTCACATGTTGACCTCAAATAAGGCATAAAGCAACAGATCATATAATGAAATTCATCCTCCAAAGGTATTTACTTACAGTATGGAAGCAGCAAATGTTGGATTCAGAAAAATATACTAAAACAAAACACTTAAAAGCTATTTGTAATAAAGATTTTGGCACATGTGATTGCTGAAAATTTGAAGTAATTCTACGATTGGCAAATAAGCAATATAAGAAAAGCAATGAGAGCGACAGATTAAGAACCATGTTATGAATAGATTTTTACCGGTTGAAGTTCTTTAGAAGATAATTATAATAATCAGCGTTGGCTTTAGCCTCATCCTCACAGTGTCCATCTGGAATCACAAAGGTGTTAGGTTTCAAGCTCAGACACATGAGCTGGATCCCTCTGTGACTTTAATACAACTTGAATAAATCTAAATCCCCGTTAAAATTAATCAAAAGTTGCTCTTCCATAATAACACATCCTGCAATGCCATCAACCAAAAACACAAATAGAGGTCAGTCTGCGTCTGTTTTTAAATGTTTTCTTAGAAGTGTGTATTTTATTGAAAGCCATATTTTCAGCTGCTTTTACCCAGTTGGCTTATCTTTTTTTTCCTTTTTTTTTTTTTAAACCCCAATGGAATTTAATTTTAACAATAAGTAGAAAGTAATTTTACGGGCCTACAGATGGAAATTAAAATTAAATCCCCTTTGTTAAAACTTTTTTATTTTTTTTTTTTTAACAAAGAAAACTGTTTTTCAGGTCCATTTAATGAAAGAACTACGATTTTTTGGGGGGGGGCATGTAGTTCACCTGATGACCACTTGATGGCGACATTGAATCATTAATCACATGCCATAGTTTTCCGAAACGCTTTACATCAAGTCGGATTCCTTCTTTTTTCGTTTATTTTAGCCGTATGTCACAGTTGGTTTGGTCATTAGGCTATTCATTTGAAGAAAGATGCTTTTTTAAAGGTATTGAAATAACCAATACAACATACCGTAAAACAGGGGACTTTACTGTTAGAGTAAATTCAAAAGATATTATATGCTTTTCTTATGCGCACCGTATATGAGGCACTATTTGTCCCATTCAAGAAAAAGAAAAATGAAATTACAAATACTTCAAAATTCAGAATAAATTACCTGAACTAGTAGGCATTTTTATTAATTAGTTTATTTTTTTTGCATTGAATAAGGTTGAATTTATTGCTCCCGAGTATTTAAAAAAAATCTAAAAAAGGGTCTATTACATTTCATTGTTTCATTTTTATTTCTGAAAAAAATAAATAAGAACGGTAATTTCAATTTAATAAAAAAATTACTAATATTATGATTGTTGTTGCTTTTGTTATCATCATTATATATAAATGTGTACATTTCCGTTATTCCAGTCATAATCAATGTTCCCATAAAATGAAAAATGTAAAGAAATAATAATAAATATAATAATATTAATTATTATAAGCATAATAATTATAATATTCATTATAACAAAAATAATAATGTGTAGGTTCAGTGTATGCTTATTGTATTTTCAGCAATAAATGAAAGCTAAATATATTAAGACTGCAATCTTTAGGATTCTGTGGGAACATTTTATTTCAATGTGTAATTTTATAAAGGTAAAAGAAAACAAGTATAATGCATATCATGTGCAAAAGAAATCATAAATTCAACAGATGAAAATAAAGCTATTTTATTGTCAATGCATTCAACATGATTAGATAAACTGTCAAGTAGTAAATTTCCGCAAAAAGGAAGAAACACTGAAACTATTCCCCACTGACACAAAATATTACATTTTGTTTTTCAAATAAAACAAATTATTTACAATGTGATGAATAAACTGCATCTTAAATTATTAATATTTAATATTACATGCACTCTGAAATATAGTCTCACATAAAATCCCAAATGTGTGTCCCTAAACATTGCAAACATGAAAAAGAAATCAGTTGCTGCGGTGTAAACCAGGACGAGTGACTACAATTGTAATTCATCTCTATATTTGAATTTGCATGATATAAAATACAATTTACTGTACATTTACACATATTCAAATCTTCCCTTATTCTCAAAGATTCAAGTGCTTCATAAATAGATTCGTTTATCATGGTTCAAAATGCTTTTGCTCACAGTCAAAAACATGTCATTTTGTACAGGGGGGAGGAAAAGTCAACAGACCAAAAGTGTCCAAGGTTTAAATAAGTGCAAGGGGTGTTTTTATGGTCTAAGTGGCCTATTTCCAGTAAGAGGTTTTAAATCCAATCCGGTTTTCAGTTCCTGGTTCTGCAAAAGTCCCTCTGATCATCTTAAAAAGTCAGTTGTGGGAAGTCATGTGACGTGAAAGGTGATGCCGCTCCCTGAAAGATTCATTGCAAATGGGGCACTTCAGTTTTTCCTCGCGCCGCCGTTTGACAAGTGGCTCCATGGAGTATTCTTTTTTGTGGTGGGATCGCATGTGGTAAACCAAGTCTGAGGTCATCCGGAAGGAGGCATTGCACTTAGCGCACCAGTTTTGAGCAGGCAGGCAGAGGGAGGTGAAGGAGGGAGGCAGCAACGTGAGCGCTGAGGGCATCTGAAGCTGGATAGGTCCAGAGTTTTTGGGCCAGAAGGCGGTGGTGTACACAAAAGGGTTCTGCTTGCCAATTCCGCCCGGCACGGGGCAGTTGGCACCAAGCTCTGCACCCTGCAGCTTGGCAGCAAGGTGGTCAGCCTGATAGAGTCTGTTGGAGGAGATGGTGTCGCCCACCGCTGGATGGCAGTCCAGCAGCTTGGGAGCCATCACCAGTGGTGAGATCTGTGAGAAGGAACGAGCTGGTTGGCTGAAGGCACTCTTCCTCTCTGAGCCGCTGCCACTTCCCTGTTGGCTGACTGAGGTGAACGCACTTCCCATGGGGGAGGTCTGGGGCTGTGTTTCAGAAAGCACCTGCCTGATGTTGAGGTGCTTCTCCACCGGGTTGCTACTTGGGCGACCCCCATCTTTGTTTTCAGAGTTGGAGTTCTGAAGGCTTTTATTGCCACTGTGTTGTTTGAGGTTCTGAGTTGACTTCTTAACCTCCGTGAATGCGCTGCGCTTCACCTCTCCATGCTCTGTAGATCCCGGTGGGGAAAAGGAACCGTGATTCTCCTCCAGGCCATACACTCCTCTGTAATTCTTCGCAGAACTTGCAAGCTCTTCCTTAGACTTGGAAAGGGGAAGGCCTGATCCTCTGGACTCCCTGTCCTCTATTTCCGAGAACTTTCTCTTCCCTGAGCTTTCACTGCAGATCTCAGCCTCCTTGTCACTTGGAGAGCTGCTCCGGTTCTTCTCCATATCCCGTGCCAGGTTGTGAAAGTCAGTTGAGGGTTTGTTGCTGTCGTGCGGACTGGTGAAGCCCTCCGACCGGCCAAGCTTTGGGCTGTTCCTGTTTGGAGTTGTGTTTGGTCGCTCTGTGCTGCTCTCTTTGCCAGGCTCCTTGTCAGCTTCAGTAATACTCTGCAGCCTTTTGGTGCAACGGAACCGGAGGTGAGCCAAAAAAGGGAACTCAAATTGGAATCGCTGGCTGCAGTCTGGACAGGAAAGGTGAGATGAACCTAGGAAGATGGGAAATGGAAAATCAACAAAACGCTAGAGAGGAATTCTGAAAATATTGATATACTGTAAATGTTATTCTCCTTTCTGTTATAGATGCTTCTCTGTTTAAATGATTATGAATCTATTGAGTACATAAGGTAGCTGGTTGGGAGATTATCTAAATAGTTAAAACAGGCTGTGTGTTGTTCTAGAAACGGACCACCTCTGCACCAGACAGGCTTTATTTGGCTCACCTTTGCTCTTTGTTGGCGCTCGGCTTGAGGTGAGCAGCAGCAGGTCAATGAGGTCCTTGCCGTACCAGACCAACAGCTCCTCATCCTTCTCAATGCGACGAAGCGAACGGTAGAAGAGCTGGCCGTTCTTGACATAGGCCTCCAGATTCTGCTCCTCTTTGTCTCGAGCAGACTGGACCAACCGGAGCCACATCAGGCCCTCTGAGGTGCTGTTGGCTGCAGAGGTGTCCACCTGGACCACAAAAAGCATACAGGGAGTTTTATTAACAAATATATTGACTCAATATGGACAACAGATATGTGTTTTAAAAAAATCTCCAATAACTATTTAGTAAAAAAAAAAATAAAAAATAAAGAAAGAAATAAAATAAAGAAACAGCATATAAGGATGAGTGAGTTTTATTATTATTTGTGCCTTTTATGACAATAGGAGGTGTACCTACCCTGAAGATGTAAGGTGCTGTGCGCTTGTCGGTGCATTTCAGAGCGATGAAGGCGATGCTGTCGTACAGCGACGTGTGGCTCAGCACGCACGGCCCGAAGATGGCGTTCTCCGGGATGTCGCACGTCGTGTAGACGCTCGTAAAAATGTCCGTCAGACACTGCTGGACTGCCTTGGCGTCCCCGTCCCACGCCAACTTCTGGGAGCTGGACTCTTCCATGTCACGCTGCTGGGACAAACAGAAAAACACACAGGATTTAGAGTCGGTTAAACCGCAAGAGCGAAAACTCACGCAGCTTTTTTTTTTTTTTTTTTTTTTTTTTTTTTTGCTTTCCAGAATAAATTTAGTTTCAAATATGAGAAGAATGGGGAATATTCGCTCCATTGTCACTGATAAATGGAAATAAATTCCTCCCGAAATAAATCAAATGACACGAGAACCTTTTTGGGTTTTTTTTCCTCAACCGTTTTCTTTAATTTATTCAAACCCTTTATTTAGCTCAGAACCGCACCAGCATACTAATGTAGAGCTTTTAAAATATCTATTATTTATATTTTGAAATAAATAAAAAAATTATTATTATATTTGTGTTTTATTGGAAAATTACATTAAAATTACGAAAATCTTTAATTAATATATAATGAAAATTATAACCTAATATAAATAAACATATCTTAAAATAAATCAATTATAATTAAATACTTAATTATTTTTACAATGCTGCTACTCTTAATTACCCTTTCCAATTTCATTGTAACCTATTTTCTTTATAAAGTCCCTTAAAAAAACAAAATATTTTCTTAATGTTTTTTTTCTTTAAGTCCATTGTTTCTTGAAAGGCATCTTGGACTTCTAAAATTTCGTTTTTAGATGTGTAAATTAAATTAGTGGAAAATAAATATGCAAAAATTATCCCTGTTCTCGTATTCGAGTCTCATAAGCGTACTGTAATGCATGTGTGGAAGCTGCTGAGGTCCACTGGCGTGGGCATGTCCAGTGGGTTTCAAGTGGACCGTCAAAGTCAGCGGTTCCATGTCAGCCAGTCTTTCTCTCCTTCCTACAAGCGGCAGCGTATGTCGCTTCATTACCATAATCCAGCACTTTCCCCTCTGAGACTGTAATTAAAGCAGCACGACCAGTTAATTATTTCTTTTCTCCCTTTTCTAACCTCACAATGTGTGCGTTTAGGCGGCTGCATGTGGCTCCTCATCCCCTCCCTCTTTTTCCTCCGATTTATATGGATAAAATTACGCACGGAAAGAAGCGCCTGACGCACTGCTTTATGCTTCTAATGCAGGGCCAACAGTTCAACATCTACACTTTTTTGTTTTTCAAAATTATAATTTCTTTACACTATATGTGAGAAGCTCCTCTTAATCAAGTTGGAACAATATTTATTTAAGAACACAGAACATTAAATCAAATAAAGAAAACATTTATGAATGTTCCAGTTGTTATTCAGTAACAATAAGGATGGAGATTTATCCAAAACAAAGTAATGCAAGAAGTAAATAAAGAGAAATCTATTTTTTTCGTTTACACACCAATGGGATTTTATTTTTTACACCATTTAAAACACGCAGAGTGATCGGTTTATATATCCCCTCAGCTTTTTCTGCATGCTCGTATATGGGGAAATTGAACTTATTTTTTAAAGCAATTTTAGACGTTTTCTTTTATTAATTTAAAGTGTTTTATTGTCCAACAATGTTGCAGCCATTAAAGCGGCTCTAAGAGTTATGTTTCGATATAGTAAAAACAGATTTGTTTTATTTATAAAGCGTGCACAATCACGTTTTAAAATAGAAACAATAAAGAGCAGATCTTTTTTTTATTTTTTTATTTCCATAGAAATGGAAAGCAGCCGTCCAACCAATCAAACCCGCCGCTGGTGGAGCGGGGGGCTTTATTTCCCTCAAACCCATCTGCCATCAGCGCCAGGCACAGCGCTGCCCTAAATCAGCGCTGCAGCTCAAACATCTGTGGGTCCCAGTCTCGCCAAGTCAACATATCATAAATAAAGGCCCGACCAAATCTCTAACCTACCTTTTGCTCGATGGAGAGGAGCTATATTCCACAAGCGAGGGGAGCGCGCTGACTCCAAACGCGTCTGAGAAATCAAAATGAGGGTTAAAAAAAAAAGAAAAAAAGAAATGTTTTAAATATCCGGATGGCAGTCGGTGGAGGTGATGCTGCGCTCCCGGGCTGGTCCTATCAGAACATATCCCCCCCGGTGTGATGACAGTGACAGTGATGCTGCTGCAGGGATCCTCCCCGGCTCTCTCTGGCAGGGCGCACCGAGCTGGACGGATAAAGGCAGACAGAGAGTGAGACGGAGGGAGGCGCGCTGATGGGGCCCGCTGCTCTCTGGCTGACTGGCGCACAGACACACACTTTTTGTTTGCAGCACATAATCTACCCAATGAGGCGTGTCACTCTCCGTCTCCTCCCTTTAACTCTTCACTGGCCGACTGTCATTTGATGCGATTTATGGAGGTGCGCAGGGATAAAGAGCCCTCTATCTCACACACACCCGCCCCCTTTTCATTATTATTGTAATTCAAATCACAATAGTTGGTGGTCATACTGGGATAAAGTGACATTTAAGCAGTGGGATGTTGGGAAGGAATTAAAAGGAACTTGATTTAAGAAAAGAAAAACCATTATACTAGCAACCATTATCATTATATAGAAGTAGTAGTAATAGTATTTAAATTTGGATTATTTTTTATATTATTAATAGAACTTAGGAAGAATCGGATTTAAATTATCACCCTATAAATATTGTATTTATTGATATCTTTGTTATTGGAGCACAGTAGATCATTGAAAATTTCTTTAAATTTTGTATTTTCTGGGCTCGCCGTGCGCCGCCTGAGCCATTTGGACGCGCGCTCAGATGTGCCGGACATCCAGGGGAGTTTGACCCACAGCGGGTCTCTGTGGCCGCTTACTGACTGACTGACTGCACTGTGCTCGGGTTCATTTAGGGGGCGCCAGTGTATAATGCGCGCAGACTGAGCGGCCGAGATTTGGATGGAGAGAGAAGCTGCAAAAACAGGTGAGAGTGAAATCCCGAAATGATCACTGCTTGGAACTGAGAAACTTAAACTTTAGTGCATTTAGTTTAGCTTCAGATTTAATGGGATTTTAACTTTTCAGAGCAAAGATCAATCTTTTTCTAGAGTTGGTTTTGGTTAATGTATTGATAATAAATTTGAATATTTACTCCGCACCTGTATCATTAGCCTGTGATAAATAAAATAAAATAAACCTTAAGCATGTAACATAGTATTCAACTTCACCTTCAATGCATAAATGCATACTAAGCATAAAATCATATTTTATCAATCCTCATCTCTAGGCAGAATAAAGCCCTTTAAAATGACACTCAGATATTCACTTTGCTCAACACATAAAACAGATTAATATAAATAAATAAATAAAAACTTATTTTTTTCAGCATTTTAATTATAAACCCTTGACAAACATGCTTGAACTTTACTATGCATATTTGCTATTAAATGCTGGTTATAATATACTAGCAGCTTTAAATTGTAAATATTTATCTAAATAATTATCAGTATCATCAGTTGTAAAGTTGTAGCCAGTTAAAGAAAGGAACAAAGGTAAGAAATATTGTCTGTGATGCTGACAGCTTACAAAAAAATCATTTCCTTTTATTTTTTATCTTCATTTAAAAAGAAAAGAAAGAGAAACCAGAGTACAGAACTACAAGTGTACACTGTTTGGGTATAAAAGAATATGTATAAATTCATATTATTATTTTTTCTTTTCTACAGGCTGACATGGCCCTTATTTTGGGATATTGAAAGACTTTAATAAATGTTTATATATTACTGTAATTTCTGAAGTATATATTGATTGTAGTGTTTGCAGTGAGTGTCTTTATCACTTTTCTGTTTTTAAATAATACTCAAATGTAATTTTTTTAAATTACAATAGAACAATCCTTTACTTGTAAATTAGCAGTTGAACTTGCTCTTAAACAGCAGCAAAGCGGTGAAGCCATACACGCTGAATACTAAACAAAAGTAGTCATATAGTATTAAAAATACAATTATAACCGCACAGCAGAGCAAAAATAGAGAATGTGGAAACAACCCTCTACACTTTTAATGAATATATAGTGAAACATAATTTATTTGAAATCTTGAAAATAGTGTAATTCAACACTTTTAATAGTGTAGAATTGAATAATTGAAGACAAATCAAAACTAAACAAAACCCCAAATTTAGTAAAACGAACATGAGCAAGTGGATATTAAATGTAAAAAGAAAAGTGTGTATGTTTCATTAGATGTTTCATATGGAGTAAAGAGTATTAATTAAAACTTGAGAGAGAAGGTTTAAACTGCTGTGTGGTCACTTTGGGAGGCTAACAGCTGGAATATTGTGTTCAGGCTGCAGCAGCCTTCCTTGTTCCAGGTAGGAGGTCAAGCATGGAGTGCAGCATATTGTCCAGGAGAGATGTGAGGTTGACTAAAGCATCCTCCTGTCTCTCCCCTTTCACATTGGGTGAGGTGGACTTTTGATAGAACTGGCCCTCCTTCCTGCCTGTTTTACTCTCTGTGTGAATATTTAGGACTGTTTCCTTCCCTTTCACAACCTGTGCTACAGTTTTTTTTATTGTTTTTTTTTTAAGTTTTGATAAGTCTGATCAGGTTATGGATCCCTCGCTGTTTAAACTCAAAATTTCAACAGTATTTATATAAAAGCAGCTGATGAGTAAACTGAAGCAGTTCTCACATATTAAAGTAACTCTGCATAAAACAAACCAAAAAAAAAAAAAAAATCAGCTGAATAATTTGTCTCTGCCTATTAACTGGTGAATTTAACAAGTTTGTATCACAGACAGGCTCAGAGGTGTAAAACCAGCTGGTTCAGCTCAGTTTTAATCATACTTCCACTGAAGAAATCCTAAATCTGAACATTTGTTGTTTTTTAACTGACGAGCTATGATCAGTCCTAATTTTTCATTGTCTGTTTGTCTGTATAGGAGAATATTTTATTTTAATATTTTAATCTTATATAATTTTCCTAATATTTTATTTATTTTAAAGATGTATTGTCTTTGCCCTGCAGCACTGGTCAAAAGAAAAAAATACAAATGGACTGATTAGATCTGCTTTGAAAAAATAGATAAAACAAGTCCAATAATTCATTTCAATCTTAAACATAATGTGCATTAATTATTACTTTATCATTAAGCTCTTTCTTGGTTTTTTAATTTAATCTTTTTTTTACAGATGGCCTGAGTATGATAAAGGCAAATTTGAGCTCAGATCATCCGGAGCATCCTGCCACGGACCAAGCGATCAGGAGTGCACTCCAAAATTTTGGGTGAGGGGAATGAAATGTGCACACAATAAAAACCCATCATGGATCAAACACAGTTGTCACAGTTTGCTGAGAGCTCCCGGTTTCTGGCCTCACACTCTGTGTTTGGGAGGAAATTTGGACGTTTTTCTCTTTAATATTCAGGGTGTTCATCAAGGCTTTCTGTAAAAAAAAATAAAATAAAAAATAAAAACAACAAAAAAAAAACTGATGGGTTATCAGATTTAGAGAAAAAATAATTTTATAACTTAAAGAAAACTTGCAGAGTATTAAACTTTCAAGTAGCCTTTTAAAACAAATATCTGCTGAAATTTCATGAGAAAAATATGTTTTTTTTTTAAATATTGTAAATCACTGTAAAAAGGGCTTAAAAAAGGGTTTTAAAAATATTTATATTGATCATCTAAATTGACATGTTTTTTTAATAAATTCCATCCCAGAAAAATAGAATTGGTAGGAATTTCCGGATAGCAGGCAGTGAGACAAAGGGTGTTGCGATGCTGTGATTGTTTTTTGTTTGTTTTTAAGTCAGAAATTCACAGCTGAGGGCTCATTGTGTCTGTAAAGCATCTGGATTCATCAACACTTTGGATCATTTCTTTATCACATCCCCTTTCAAGTCATAATCACAACGAATTTACATTTTATTTGTCACAATCCTTGCATAGGGATTAATGTTTAAGAATGAAGAGATAGCTTCTGTCTAAACCTAACAGATAGGCCTAAGTGTTTCTACTGTCATTTCAGATTCCAGAATAAGTTAAGACAGATATATTCGGTATTGACAAAAAAACATATACACAAGTCATTTGTTCATATTACAGTCTAAGGATTGGCTTAATATCTAATGGCATAAGAGTCTTACAGTACACCTGAATCAGCACATTGTTAAGCTACGGTTTGATATTGAAGTAGCTCAACAACAAAAATGAACAACTTAATGCTAAATGAAAATACACATTACAGAAGCAGGAACCAAAAAAATAAAATATGGTGTTTGTCTACCAGTATATTTACTGTATATGTAATTTTAAAACATTTAAGCTTTTTAAAACAGTATAGGACTTGACAATATTCTAATATTAAAAATAAAAATGAAATTGTCTCTTAATTTATAGGTTATGATACTTTTTGAACACCAGGCTATGATCCTTTGGGGGCTTATTTAGACTCTGGTGTTACATTGTGAGCTAAGTTAGGCTGTGCAAAGCAGGTGGATATAAAGGCTTGGATCACAAATATAGAATAACGGAGTTAGGATTTGCACAGTGCTTCATGCTTGATTAAAAACAACCTTAGGTTTTCATCATTATCTGTCAGGTTGGGTGGAGGTTTTGGAGGACCCAAATGCAGAGACTGAAATTGAAATGGGATCTTGTACTTTTGATAAATAGAAAAGGTGGCAACTGAGGCAAAAAAAAAAAAAAAAAAAAAAAACAAGTACAGAAACCAGTAATCCAGGAGAATTCAGGGAAAACACACATGAGGAGCCAGGAAACAACAAGGAACCAGCAAACAGTGACTGAATGGGAGGTGTATAAATGAGAGACTGAACAAAGACCAGGCTAATCAGCAGATTGGGAGCAGGTGTGGACAGAGGAATCAAGAAGGGAGCTGGGAGACTGACACAAGAGGGCAAAAGAGGGGAAACAAGAAATACATAAGAATTTAAAAAACCAGAAACAACTACAATAACACACAATGGAAATTAAACCAATACCTAGAAAACACAGAATGACATTAATCCAAGTATAACTGAAAACTCAAAAAGAAAACTTAAACAGAACCAAAAAGTGCAGAATCGTGACAATTATCTGCAATTCTTACATTTGCTTGGTGTGGACGGTGTGGGCATGGCTAAGACTACTAATTTTGGTGCCTAGCTCTTTACCTTCAGTAATTAAACCAACGTGTGCACTCTCTTGTCAATGAGTGATGATTTGTATAGTTAACAAGTTTTTCATCTAAATGCAGGTATTTCTTGGAGGTGGAGGATAAAACAGACCCTAAAATGGAGCCTTGAGGAATCCCACTTAAGGTTTTCTATGCATGACTTTTCAGTGTGGTTTGATTCAAATTATCCCTGGTCTGCCTAGCATAATATTAAACAATTAAGCAATAATAATAATAAAAAAAAAAAATAATAATAAGTTGTGTTTTCTGATCCAAAAATCAGATTGGTATCAGATTGGCTGATTATATCGGCTAATATCCGATACTGATATGATCCTACCCTTGAAGGAATTAACCGTATACCTCACCATGTGACTACAGGGATCATGCTTTACATAAACGTTGGTTAAAAAAGGTAACAAAATAGCATAGCTATAAATCATCACTGTGTGTGCTCTGGGGAATGACATATTTAAGCATTGCAATCATAATACTGAAGTTACTAGATTACTATTTCTGTGTTGCTGTTTATGATATCCATAAAAATAGAAATTACTTGATCAGAATGCTGGATTGGTGTCATTCATCTGATATCGGATCCAGCTAATTAGTTAATATTGGAGCCGATATGCAATCAAAGTATCAGAATGGTAGATCTCTATAAAAAAATATCAAACACGTTTCTGTTTTTGGCGAATTCTGAAGTTTCTTATCTCTATAAGTTTAGTTGTTTTGAGATCTCTGTCTTTGTCTTTATATTTGACACCAAAAAACAGTGACCTTTTCACTTATTTATTTATTTTTGCACAACTGCAAGAAAATAGTAGTGTGTATTCAGTATACATGTAGATATTGCAAGAAATGCTGTTATACTTTATAGGGTATTCTGAGCCAGAGGAGATTGTAGATATTAAAATAAAAGGAGTAAAAAATGAAAGCTCGGACATCCCATATTTTCTGCTATTTAAATCAGATTTATGTTCTCTCACAATCAGTTATTCGTAATCAAGTGTGTTAAAAGCATCAGATTCGTTGTATAACATTATCAGTTAAAATGTCATCTGAACAAAAACAAAAATCCTTCAATAAAAATTATATTTATGTGATATTTTTTATGGAAATTAGAAACCCTTCACAAGTGAATTTTAGATGTATGCCCTGTGAGTCTAAAGGGGTTTCTTTTTAGATTTTAATGCTATTATTTTCAGTTTGTTTTGAACAAAACTTGTTTATATTTTGTGTGTGCATTAAAAACAATAACTTGGTTTGAAAGACGGAAAATGGGATTCTTACTCAAACAAGGTGATAAATTATATTAGACAAATATGAGACAATAATTTAAAAGGTGATCCATATTTTTTAGATCTTCAGTTTTTTCATGGAGGCAATTTTACATCATAGCTGTGGAAAATAAAGTATGCTGAGAAAAATAATAATAAAAATAGGAGTGGGTGTAAAAATGTGTGTGGGATGGGGTTTATGGAGACACACAGGGTTCTTTAAGTCAAGTTGCAGAACCAAACAACTCAAACTGTCCCATCTCATCCATCAGCATTACAGAAAAGAGGTTACAACTGTCTCTGTATATGAATGCAGATCAAGCTGCAGCAATAGGAACAAAATGAGTAAACCACTGATATCAGTTGGTGTTGATGTTTGCCCCATTTTGTCTCAAAATAAACCCTCCATTAGGTCATGTTACAGGAAGCTTAAATGTTCCATGAGGTTAGCAGGTTGATAACCAGACCATCACGTAAACTGGGATGTTATGTTTCATGTACAGAGTTTTTAAAAGCATCATATTTGTATCATGCATCAACACGCGCTCTTTAATATTTCATCTTAAATTAAACATAACCTCAGGAACTTTGGAATCAAACTTTACCTTTCGTCTGCTCATTGTTACTACTAAATTCTGTGATGAGTTAATTCCCTTCCCTCTCATTGGGCAGATCACATGAAGCGGCAGTGACAGCAGAAGCTTTCTGCAAATGCATTTCAGCAGACAGGAACTGGCAGCACTGCGCTCCATCCCCACTGTCTTCCTGTCACTGAGTCTCATCAAATATTAGGCATGTTTTTTGTTCCTCGGATGGTGTGTGTGTGAGTGTGTGGCTGTTTGTGTGTGTTGTGGAGGAGCTTGAGAGGCCTTTGCATTGATATTTGATGATTAAACTCATTGCAGGAAAAGTATAGTTATTCAGTTGGATGTTAGAATCATCTGCTGTTAACAGTCTGTGCAACACAGGTGGTTAAAAGATCATAAGCTTTTAAAACTGATGATCTGATCATGCATTTTTCAAGTGAAGGAATACATTTTCCTTTAAGTTTTTAAAAAAGTAAAAAAAAGCAAAGCTTTATAGGAGTGTTAATGTCTTGTTTGACATAAAATTTGACAGTTTTTGCAAACATTTCAACATCTTGAAAGATGTTGATTTTGTTTGCGGGGTTTTTTTTTGTTGTTTTTTTACTTGTTTTTTCAACTGTTTAGTTGAGAGATTTTTCTCTGCCATCCTGACACCAAAACTCTCCTTGATTGTATTAGTTTATGTCCAATAGACTGATTATTTCTATCTGTATACCAAAATATTCAGCAAAGTGGAATTAGAATATATATTTTTTTTATATAAACATCAACGTCTTGTTTTGACAGTATATCTAAAAACATCATTTCATTTTAAAAATGTTATTAAACAGCTCTTTACTGTAGCTCAGTCAGGGCAATTTCTACCAACTATTATTCAAATTAAGGCAGGAAAGGGGAATAAAAGACCTTTAAATAAGGCTCAAACTTTTAGAAACAACAGCTGGATTGATGGCAGACTTTTACATGGCATATCTACATTCAAATAATACATTTTAGAATAAATTTACTATAAAACATAGAGAGAAACCTTTTTTACCAACAAACAACCAATGAACTGGACCAGATCAAGACCCTAAATAAAACCTCAAAAGTCAAGATATGCTTGATTATATGTGTTCTTGATTAATTAGTGAATACTCGTCAAAGAGCAATGACCTCCTGGAAAAATAAATCTAATCCTTTCTAGAATAATGAGCATATCCGTACACCTGTCCATCCGTCCGTCCATCCATCCATCCATCCA